CCCTGGGGCTGACTGCTCTTCTGTCTGGGTTCAAGGCTTTTATCCCCTTTCTCCTGCTCTTCCGGCCTGCTACTCTGGCGTCCCTGTGTTGTCTCTCCTCATCTGTAACCCTGGTTACAGGTATAGAGAAATTTATCTTCGGAAAATGGCTCACACACTTATAGAAGCTGGCAAGTCCAAAGTTCCTGGATCAAACATCAAGCTGGAGGCTTTTCCACGTCAAGCTGTAGGCTTTTCCATGTCAAGCTGGAGGTTTTTCCTGACTCTTGCAGCCACAGGGGCTGAGGAACTCAAGGCTAGCAGGCAGTACACTGGCTGTTGACTCCAACAAATGATGAATCCAAGATCGCCAGGCTGAATGGTGGATTGTTCTCTCATGGACACTTGTAGGTAGCACAACAGAGTCCTGATCCACAGAAGATTTGGTACAATACTGCGCACCTTTAGGAATAGTCTGTTAAGGCTGAAAGGCTCTCAAAATAGAACTGGGAAAGAGCTGCAACATCTGAGTAAACCCAGCCTTACTCATATGGAAAAGAGAAAGCTTTCAAGACTTTCATTTGCTGATGTGGCACCACTCAAATTGAAGAGAAACAGCCGCAGACATCCATTAATCATCGGAACGTAGAATGTACGAAGTATGAATCTAGGAAAATTGGAAGTTGTCAAAAAGGAAATGGAACTCTTTATCCTAACAGCCCCTTAATGCAGACGATCTTCCTTTTCTTCTCCTTTTGCTGTTGTTGTTGTTATGTGCCATCAAGTCAGACCTGACTCATAGAGACCCCTCCTTGGGTTTCCGAGGCAGTATCACTACGGAAGTAGATTGCCCCATCTTCCTTGTGGGGAGTGGCTGGTGGGTTTGAACCGCCAGCCTTCTGGTTAGCAGTCAAGTGCCTTAGCCATTCTCACGACATATCATTTACAGGAGCTCTGGTAGCATAGTGCCTAAGGCACTCGACTGCTCACCAGAAGGCTGGTGGTTCAAACCCACCAGCCATTCCTCGGAAGGAAGGTCAGGCAATCCTACTATCCATAGTGATACTGCCTCAGAAACCCAAGGAGGGGCCTCTATGAGTCGGGGCCGACTCGACGGCAAACAACAACAATCATTTTACTAAAGATGTATTAATTCAAGGATCCTGGACTTATCCAGGGATAGCTTCAGTTTTAACTCTGGCATTGTATAGGGCTAGGACCTCACTCCTGTCTTTGTGTTGCTGTTAAATCTTCAGTCCTTTGTTTAGTGAGACCAGTTCCTGCCTGGACACCATCCTGCAGCCAAAACATCAGCTCTTACTACCTTGGCTTTCAATTCTTTCTTTATTTTTAACCCCTTGGATTTCCCTTACTTTCTTGAGAACTGGAGAATTAAGACATAGGTCTTTTGTAGGGAAGAATTTCTCATCTTTAATTTTATAAAGGAAGATTTCAAATTTTTAATTTAAGATTTGTATAGGAAGATTTTTAACTTTCTGAAAAGAAAATACGATTTTATTCTTAAAATAATTGATTTTGCTCATATCTAACTCAAATGTCATAAGAAATAAAAGTAAATTGCAACTAAATTTTTATAGTATAGGTTATTACAAAATAGTTTTAAATGTCACATGAGGTAACATGAAGAAAACAGATTTTGTTTAAACAGGTGTTATTTTAAAATGACAAAAAAGACAGTAACAAGCATCTAGTTACTTACAAATACCAAATCTTCATTTCTGATTTTGTGAAACACCATTTGGTTCACATTATTATGCCTCTGCAATGTTGGTGAAGTTGGTACATCAGAAACACCATTAGTTCTGAAGACTAAAAGGTTTGATCTA